ACACAGACTCACAGAGAAACACACACACTCAGTGGCCAATCTTCAGTTTGCTAAACTTTCTTAGCAACTGTAGCTAAATGCACTTTTGGCCTTAATGGATATGAGACTTCTTCTCCAGAATTTGCTTTAAGGCTGTGGTGTTTCAACTCTCCTGTGAGTGTCTCCTTCGCATGTTCTCTCATATATCTGATTTTAGATTTTTATTTTTAGCCTAAGAAAGCACTTTCCCTTCTTCTAAATCCATTGCCTGGGGACATGGGACATGGCAGAGCTGTCCTGCAAACACTAATACATAATATGAACAATATTTGAACAGATCGCCTTGATAAGGCCATAGAACAGTGTGTAATGACCTTGGGCTTTGCAGAAGGAAGCCAAAGCAAAGCTGTGTTGGGGAACAGTTGTAGCTGTGCAAATCCCTACTCTGTCAGGAAAAAGGGGATAGCTTCTAGGCAGCTGGGAATGGGTGTGCCTTTTAAAGAAGATGCAAAGGCTACCAAAGCCAGAGCCAGTTAAATGTCCACAGTCAGTGAGAGCAGGTTCCCTGCCTTCCCCCACCCACTCCTTTGGAGCACGTGGGCATATTGAGTACCCATATTGGGCATATAGAGCGCCCATATTGGGATGTGCTTTGAAATTGTCAGAAGTAGGAAAGGAGAATGTGCTGCTCTTGTAGAAAATGGATGGATCATGCAAAGGGAAAAGAAGCTAGAGCCAGGAGGCTAAGGTTTATATTTATTTATTTTAAATATATATATTTGCTGTCTTTCCATATAGATATGCTCAGGGTAACTTATATGATAAGGGTAAGTCAGGGATGATGTGTTACGCATCTGTTAAATGCATGTTGAAGCAAATAGGACTTACAGCAAGAATGGCTGCCTTCTCTCAAGAGAAAACTAAGCTCATGCCAGAAGCACTCTCAGCAGAGAAGAACATGCCGCTATGGCATGACCAGGGCAGGTGTTACAGAACCAGCAACCTCTTGCTTCCTTTGTTGCCTGTTTCTAAAATAGAAAAAGGGAGTCAGTTCAGACGTTGTACATACCACTACATTTGTGCAAATAACACTTGCACAAGTAATGTCAGGTACACATACCTGGGAAGTAGCAGTAGAAGCTCCTATGAATGGGATGAGACAAGGGTAGAGAAATCCTGGCTTATAGATGCAGTTGCTGTAACTTCTGAACACCCTTTTATGACTGGCAGCAGGAGGGGTTAAATTGTCCCGCAGCGTTTGAGCTGATTTGAAAGTGGCATTGTCAAGTTAGGTGCAGTCATGAAGCTTATCTGAACTTACCCTGCTCACTGGAGTACACCACTCCTGTGCTCAATTATTTTGTGCAAATAAGCTGGTAGTTATATTTAAAGCTCAGAGTGTGTAACTAAAGTGAATTGATTTTTAACTGAAATAACTTACTGGTTAACTTTCTGCTGAGGTATCAAAAGTGACATACATAAAACATAAGGAAAAGCCCAAACAATATAACAAAATGGCAGTGAAAATTGAAAAGCATCAACCCTAAACATGCTTAAAATAACAAACCAAAAACCCAGGCGCTAGCTGGTGCATCAGCTAAGAGTTTATTTCTGGGGCCTAGAAATCAGCAGGAAAGATCCTCCAAAGGAGAGAGGCCACCTCTGACAAGTCCCAATTTAGCTTGTCTCCATCTTCTTCTTCTCCTGCCTTTGTTGTCTCCCGTGTTTCATTTATAAGCTCTTCAGGCCAAGGACCCAACATTCATGCTTATCTGGTAAGGTGCTATGCGCATTGACAGCACTATATAAACAACAACAACAATATATGTGCCAGCTCTTATTTGTCCATTATGCTGAGAAAATGCTTTGCTTTGCCAGAATTTTACCATGCAACAGGTGAATTTGCCTCTTACAAAGTGTGCTTATGTGACTGGAACTCCACCATACATTGTCTTTACCCCTCCACTGCATCTCAGGGTGTATGTGCTAAAGAGCCTTTGAGCATGGAGAGTTTCTGCTGCCTTTTTCCGGCAGAGGAAACTTGCAGGCTCCTAGTGAGAGCTGAGTAATGGTTCAGAAACATTGTTTTATTAAGGAAGGCGTTGTTCACTTGGATGCTGAGCCCCATCGTGGCACAAAGAAATCTCAGCATCCTGAAAGCAGTTCCCTGTAGAAAGCCGTGTTTTGCACAATTTAATATTAATGGAAATATACACAGAAACATTTTTGGAAAGGTGTTTTTGGGGGGAAAGTGCAAGATGGCTTTAAAAAGAGGGGCCCAATCCAGTAGGAAGGCTACAGTGTTGGATCTGTTGCATAGTTGAAGGGTGAACCATTTTGGGGTGCTTTCCTCTGCTTTTCAGACTCATATGGTCCAATAACAGTTTGAAGCAAGCAGTTTTGGTATAGCCAAACGTTTTCTGTAATAAAGGGTATGGTTTGAGGGTGCATTTAGAATCCTGCTGAGTTTTTGGCCCTGCCAAGCAATTACCAGCCAAATCAGGCAGCCCCCCCCCCTCACACCAAGCTTGGTTTTGTCAAGTTTTGATTTTTCATTCACCCAACATGCTGGCCTAAGTTGGGTAGATATGTCCTAGCTATACATAATACGGGGTTCCTTGGGGATGCCCAGTGCACCAGACTCACGTCCTTCTCCTAGTGCTAGTCTTGGCCCCTTGGGGGTGGGGGAGTAATGCAAGTTCAAGGAGCTACAGTATGAACCAGAGCAGTGCCGTTTGGTTTGCTCTAGGGCACTCCTCCTTTGTTAGGGATGCTATGCTTTATTTTAAAAGCCTCCCCCTTCTTGAGGGCCTTTATTAATCTCTTGTCTAGCCCATGTGAAAGTCACGGCTTTCAGCTGTCCTCCTGCCAGCCTCAGCACTGCCTGTCTGCAACTGGCCAGCTGCCCTTGGCTTCGGACACAACTCTTGCAGAACACTTTATTAAAACTGAAAACCTCCCTTTCAGAAGAAGCTAAGCAGAGACCATTTTCTGAGTTGATCTCATTTTGATTGCCCCTCCCCAAGCTTAGACCAGTTTTTTCTACAAGCCCAGGTGTGCTTGTTAACACCCCACAAACAAGTTAAAAGGCAGCATTGTGCACATTGTCTTTTTGTACTTTTTGTTATTTCCTTCTTCAGGATTGTGTTTATTTGTTTTCAAGAAAGTAACTTCTGTTTGTATGAACTGTTTTGGGGGAGGGATATAGTTTTGATCTGTGTGTGTTTTGTACCTGAGGTGATGCATCTGCTTTGGCTTGAAGGCATCCTACAGCCAGGATGTCAAAATCAGGGACTACTTCTGTATCTGTTCTTTAGAAGATAAAAAATAAATTAAAAACCTTTTAAGTGTAGTTCAGTGATGTTTGGTTTTATTGTGTGCATTCAGTTCAAATTCTATCTTGCAGCACTGGCCTCAATATCTCTGTGTATGTGGGTGTCATATTATATAGATCTATTTCCCACCCAAGTAATGCCTATGCACTATTAATAGCAAACTTGGGTAGTTGAGTTGCTGACCCGAAAATCTATGTCTCCACTGTGCAAGGATGTGCGGATCCAGAATTGGCCTCCACAGTCACCTACAGACACACTGTTAAGATCGTATTCATGGAAGACAATCTTACTCAACTACACGTGATAGCAAAATAAATGAATAAGATAAAAAATATAAGGTGTATCGAAAGATTTAATAATAGTAATAAAAAATGAAAATTAAAGTAAAAAAAATAAAAAGCTGGTGATAATTAAGAGATGGCAGTGAAAGTAGAGTAGAAATAGGAGGGGATAAAAAGTTAAAAGAAGGGGATCCCCCCCTAGAAAAAAGGAAGAAAAGGGGGGAATTGACTAAAAATACAAAGCAAACCAAAAAGGGGGGGGAATTGATTGATTTAAAAGGATAAGTATGGTTATTGCCACATCTGGAGGTCGGAGCCATTTCTGAGGGCAAAGGTCGCATCATCAAGGGGAATCCCTCATTGCCTCAGGCCTCCCCTGTGGGCGCTGCCATATTCGGTCTCATCTGCACTCACCCACTAACAACAATAGGGACCAAACCTTGGTTGGGCTGGGGTGGGTCTGATCCGTAGCAGCAGGTTCCCTGAGCTTAACTATCTGCAGCAGCTACAGTCCTGGGGGGAAGCAGTGCCAGGAGGCGCCATGCTCCCTCTCCCACACCTTTGGCCCCAAATCACGACTGGCAAGCTGGTCTTGCTGCACCCAGAGATGGGCTGAGGGCACCCCATAAGCCTCTTTCTCACTACCTGCCTCTCAGCAGCTGAAGGGGTGGTGCCAGGCAGAAGCATGCAGGAGCGGCAGCACGCTGGCACAGGACAGCCTTGCGGTTCCAGCCCTGCGTGCACACCAGATTTGCTCTAGAACTCCAGGCGGCCTGAGGCGGCCTCCGCTGCCTCTGAGGCTTCTTGGTCTCCAGAGGGGCCTGGTCCTCCTCCTCCTCCTCCTCCTCCTCTGCCCCACAGAGGTGCTCCCTCCTTCCCCCACAGTCAGTCAGGCGGCTTGTACGGGGACAAGGCGGGGAGCGGGTGCTGGCGGGTGGAAGGGAGCGAAGCACGGCCTACAGGCTCCAGGGGTGTTGCTTTGGAGCTGGCTGCCGTTCCTGAGGCGTGCTCCCTTACCCTGCGCTGCTGACTGTCATGTGCGCTGCCTAGGACATCCTGGAGCTAAAGCCAGGCCAGGAGAGTAGAGCGTGCCAGACGTGGAGGGAGCAGAAGCAGCACAGCTGACCCAACCCCCTTCCCATCCCAGGTGCTCATCCTTGGCTCCTTGCTGAAGCTCACCTGCCAGCAGGGAAGGCCTTGGCAGCCCTCACTCCCACCGGGTCCTGGTGAAAGGAAGCACTGGCCAGCCTGCAATGCCAACGCAAGCGTTGAGGGTAAGCTGATATATATAGCAAAGAAGATCTCACAACTTACAGACATGTCAGCCTAATTGGTAGAATGCCAGCATTATTAGAAACTGAGCAGAAAATGGTTTGCTGAAAAATCAACATGGCTTCTGAAAAGATAAGTCTTGCTTCAGCAATTTATTTTATTTATTAGTTCTTAAAATGTCAACACACACAAACATACATACATACAAAGAAGGGATCCAGTAGGCAGTATACATCTGGAGTTTCAAAAAGCTTTTGACAAAGTCCCGCTCTATAAGCTACCATGGGATAAGGGGATAGTTGTCTAACAGAGCTAGCAGCTGAATAAAGCCTGTTTGGAAGGAGTTCTACCCAGTACAAGGAGCAAACAACGAAGGGATGGCCTGCACTCGTCTCCTTCAAGTTTTCTCCAGCACAGGAGTCAAATTGTTTTCTTGCAAGTCTGCTCTTGTACAGGTTAGCTCAGGGGGGAGTTCTGCTATGTTCAATGGGGCTCATTTCCTAGCAAGTATGTTTAGGAATTCAGCCTGAATTGTCCCATACAGACTCCTGTGGGTAAAGCAGGGGAAGAACCTGTGGCCCTCCATATCTTGTTGAACTCCCAACTCCCATCAGCTCCACCACAGATGGCAAGTGGCCAGCGATGAGGGAAGTTAGAATCTAGCAACATCTTTCCCAGCCCAGGGTTCAAAAGACAGCAACTGGGGCAGGAGCGACAAGAGTTACAGGGTCTATGGCCCAGAGTATACAATGCGACTAGACAAATACAATGAGAGAAGGAAATGTGAGCAGGACTCTGGTTTTACTGAGTTTTTAACATTGATGTTTTATTATAAAAAATGGGGGCGGGGGCCCTGTTCTTATCCAAAGTGTGAGTCTTCTGTTAGAAAAGCATCCCTTTGCCTTATTATTCATTATTTGAGAGTCTGCACTTAGAGGGTGCTGATGAACAATATTTTCCATTGTTTCATAGGAGGCAGCACATTCAGTATAAAAACAAAAGCAGGATTATGTCCAAAATAAAAGGGTTGGCTTAGGATGTGGACTGATCTACAATCCACTCTTTTTTTAAAAAAAAAAAAAGTTTTTTTTCAAAAAACCTTATTTACTCTGATTTGTACAATAAAAAAATATTTATTAAAAAAAAGGTGCTAGTGGCCTTTAAACATGATCTCACTGTGTCCTCAGTAAGCAAAGATGACTTTGTACGTGACCTGGTGGCCATTGTCCCAAGCATAGAGGAGCCGGTCCTTGGGGTTGTAGTCTATCTGAGTGGTGTAAGAGTACTCGTTCTCAAAGAGCAGGCGGGGGATGATCTGGGTGTTGGTGTGCGTGTCAAATGCATAAGAGATGTTAGCATTCTTCTTGTTGTAGCTGTCAATGGCGTAGAGGACACCGCAGATGACAAAGGAGTTGCCATAGAAGTTTTTGCGCAGGCCTGTCCGCCAGGTGGTCTCCTTGCGAGTGCTCAGATCATTGGCGTTAAGTTTGCTGAGGACAATCACCTCCTGGCTAAAGCCTTCGTAATTAATGGCTGGGTAAATGATCCACAGGCCATTCTCATCCACTGCAAAATCCACATCAGAGTGGCCACGCCACCGCCAAGGTGTCTCCTCGTCATAGGCCACATCTTCCAACATGGCCCAGGCAGCCACATAACGCTGCTTCAAGTCGTACTTGATGAGGTTGCGAGTAAAGGCCCGGTTATAGTAGAGAGAGCCATTAAAGACCGCATGGCCTGTCCCCATCCAACTGTATGGCAGCTTGTATGAGTTACTCCATCGACCTAAGGGGCAGAGATCACAGAAACAGAGAACTGTAGGGTTGGAAGGGAAAGGGTCATCTAGTGTAACCCCCTGAAATGAAGGAATCTCAACTAAAGCATCCCTGACAGGTGGCCATCCAACCTCTGCTTAAAAACCTCCAAGGAAGGAGAGTCCACCACCTCCCAAGGGAGATCATCCCACTGCCTAACAGCTCTTACCACCCTTGATTTTAATTTCATTGGTTCACCTGTTTCCTATGGAGGCTCAAAAAGGAGTCCAACAAACTGCTTTATACCCAATCAGGCTATTGGTGCATGTAGTGCGGTACCAGCTGGTCAGTGTAAGACAGTGGTGGGGAACCTCAGGCCTGCAGTGGGAGTTCAACTGCTTCTCAATGTGGCTCTTCGGACTCTCCCAGGCAACACCTCCTCAACCACATCCCCTCAAGTCAGGCAAAGCTGGCGACCTGCCACTGACACCTCCCTCTACTCTAACTAGGCCTGAAACTAATTTATTTCCCAAGATCCTCCTCTGTGAATATTAACGTTGAATATTCAGTAGTTTTTCTCTGAATATTCTAATATTTGACATATTGAGGTACCTCAGTCAGTGCCGTAGCATGAATGGGCCGTGGCCCCAGGCACACTTTTTTGAAGGGGGTGCAACCAGGCACCCCACAACAGGCTCCTTCATTGGAGCCTGGCTCCAGCGCACGAACGAGCTGCAGGGACAGGCAGCTTCCTCGCGCCCAACCCCACCAGCTGCAACTCCATACCGAGGTCAAGCCTGACCTAGGGGTGGAGAGGGGGGAGTGAGCAGTAATGTGTACAAGCCCAGCCGCAGCGCCGTCCCTTGGTCATGCTTGACCCGGGGCGAAGAGAGGCGCCTGGCTGCACCAGCTCTATCCCAGGGGATGGAGGGGCTGCGGTGCGTGTGCTCTGGGTGCGCCTTGCAAGGCCAGCTGCAGGAGGCTCCCTCCATGCACTGCACCCCTTGGGGGTGCACCCCACATCCCCCCCACGGCCTGAGATTACACGGCTGATCTAAGTTATTTGATTTCATTATTTGACAAGTGGTGGTGTTTTAGCCGGTATTAAGAATATCTTACAGATGTTATGTAATGGCATTTAATATTTGACAGTGGACAACAAGTTTGGAAGATTTCAAGTATTTGTTTCAGCTGTAGTGTCTAGTGGTATTTTGTATCACACCAAACGGATGAAGGAGCGGTTTTTCTGGGCATAAGTGTGCTGGATACTGCAACCTGTGCTGGATAGAATATTTTGGGTCCCCTTAATTTTCTGATCTGCAGTTCACTAGCTTCAAAGACTTCATGCTTCTATGCCCACACTAGCCTCAAACTGCTGAATCAACGCTACCCATCTCCATCCCACCAGACTCCTCAATGGCCCTACTCTGGCGCGATTCAACAGTGTGCCTTGGCTCTGCTCTGAATCCATCCAGGATCCACCACTAACACTCAGCCTCTCTCTTTCTCTCTCAGGCATCTTATCACACAGCACAAGGCAGACCTTGCTTGAAGCTGTCCAGGTTCCGAAACTCGACCAGGGTGTTGCCATAGTAATAGTTGGTGACATAGATTCGCTCGTCCTTGGCAAGGGGGTCCTTCATCCAAGCCCCTTCATTCCGCCCATACGTGTTCTGGGTCATGGGCCCAGAGACAGTAGACAAGGTGTCCTTGCACTGGCCTGTTAATAAAACAGAGCAGCAAATAACGACAATCACAACAACACCTTGCACTGCGTGTGTAGCACATTTGAAGCGTTCATAGTGTTTCAAATACGGCAATTATCTCAGCAACCTTTGCCTCAACCTTACAAGTGGGCAGGTGAGGGTGGGCATAGCTGTTGAGCTGTTGGGAAGTGGAGCTGGATTTGCAGTGGAGAAGGAGAGGCAAGGGCTTCTCTCTCCGCTTGCCACTCCCCCCCCCCATCGCCTTTCCCTTTAACATGGCACACAAAAGTATGGAAATTGGCCAGTGAATTAAAGTGATTACTAGCTGAAAGACAGAGCCAGCAGCAACAAAGCAAGCTATTCATCTACTTATTACATACCTTATTATCCAGTTATTAATACCTTATTGATCAGTTATTGGGGGCACTGTGTTACAGTGGTTCTGGCCCTACCTATGGGACAAAAACTAGAGAGTAGCACCGGGAAGGAGCTTTTCTGCTCCCTGGTGGGTATGCTATGGGGTACTGCAGGGCAGCAGCTTATCTGCTATTTTATACAGGCAACTCCCATTTAGTGCGCATTCAAGGCATGTGTGGCCGCTGAAACATGCGCCTTTTCTGGCCCCGGAACAGGGGTGGGCTTATGTGCGCCCCACTGATGTGTGTGATGATGTGGAGCGCAACCCCCATGCAAATGGGGAGCTGCCTGTATCTCTTTGAAGCTGCAGGGAGCAGGCAGTAGGAGCTTGGGGGCCAGGTGCCCTCAGTACGCTGACACTCAGCTCTATTTCTCTATAACAGCTGAATTCAGGCTGAGCCTGAATCCCGGCAAGATGGAGGCACTGTGGGTGAGTAGTTCCTATGGCAGAGAAATTGGTCAATTGCCTACTGTGAAGGGGGTTACACAAGCAGGTTCACAATCTGGGGTTTCTTCTGGATCCAGGCTTGTCACTGGAGGCCTAGGTCTGTAGCTAGGAGTGCCTTTTACCAACTGCACCTGATAGGACAGCTCTGATCATTCCTGGGCTGGGAGGGCCTGGCCACAGCAGCCCATGCCCTGGTTACTTCAAGACAGGGTTACCCAAGCAGTATATAAATGTTGTGGAATACATGGATGAATAAATCAATAATATTAATAAACATGGCAGGGTTGGCACAGAGGATGTGCCATATACAAAAAAATTTCTGGACAGGCTCATAGCTTGCCAGTAACCAATGCAGCCCACAAAACTCAAGAACTTAACATTGTCTGTAAAGCAGATAACAGACCCTGGTCCAGCAAGGCGAGGCACCAGATAATTCTCCTCAGAGTGAGTCAAATTCTAAGAGTCCCCTGCAGATCAATGGCAAAGGAATCAACAGGAAATACTTGCACGCATTCTATCATTTTGCAATTTCTGTTCCTTATTCTGCTTCTGGTCAATTCACAGTATTTAGTTTTCCTCATATAATGTAGTGTTTGGTGCGCTCTCTCTCACTCACATATGCACGCGTGCGTGTGCACACACAGAAGGGGAGAGAATCCATCAATCTGCAGAAAAGCAATGCCACTTTAGCTTCAGATTTAAGTGATTTGATTGCTTTCCTGACAGAATTTGCTATATTTCACTTCAGTTGCACAAGCTCCTTTTGGAAAACAAAACGGAAAATGGCCTGCCATTGCCCTACATCAGTTTGCTTTACCAACCATCTCCTGCCACCCATCTCTGTGTCTTTATAAGCGTAGCCTTTCTGCTGTCACAGGCATGCGAGAGCTGCTTCTCTGGCGCCTGATTCCATGTGGCTGAGCAGCGGGTGTGAGTGTTGTGCTTTTCTGCTTTTCTGTGCCTGAAGTCTGTAGTTCTAATAAGCATCAGACACGGGCAGTTTAGATGACTATTGCGAAACTTCAGAAGCTGCCTTACATCTGGTCAGACTATTTGTCTATCTAGACTAGCCTTGTCTACCTTGGCTGGCAGAAGGGCATCATCTTTCCCAGCATCTACAACCTGATCCAATGGGAGATTCTAGGGATATGCTCAGCCACTGAGCTACAGTGCTATATTGCCTCACCTAATACTAGTTCTTTTATTTCCACTTAGAGTCCAATTGTTTTACTCAATGTTACTCCAGGCTAGGTAGACAAGCCTGGTGTTTCCATACACATCTTTCTGGTGCATCAGTATCTGTGGAAAGAGATACTTCTTTCCTTGAAAACATCTCCCCAAACCTAATCTCCACCTAAAGGGCACCATCAGAGGATTAATCAGATCAATCCCACTCCAGTTCTCTTCAACTGTCACCTTCAGTATTCCATAGCTTAACTGTTGTCAACGTTTGGTAGGTCCTGAAAACTCACAGGTCCTTTTTAGACCATTTTTGTTCTTCTTCTAAATTTACAAAAGAAAATGCTTTTGCATTCTTAGGGAATCCCCTAAATATGTGGAGCTTGCTTACCTAATGTTGAGGTGGCTCCATTTCTCTTCCAAACTTGACCAGCCAAGTTTTGTTTTGGAGGGAACAATATTACAGTCTGTCAAATGCCTCACGGGTGAGAAACAGAGCTCCACCAACACCCTGGTTCACAAGTCTGGATTAAAGCAATATCAATGTGGACACAAGCTTACCAATGCTGTTTCGGATATCTTCCTCGTCCAGGCCCTGTGTGGGTGTGACGGTGAGGCTGGGCCTGGCAGGGGCTGCAGGGGGCACCGCTTTGGTTGTGACAGCTGAAGTCGGCTGGGCTGTTGCCTGTGTGTGGAAATTTGTGGTGGCTGCTTTGGCCATGGGGGGCTTTGTGTCAAAAGCATTCCGGGTTGCCACAACCGTGGAAGCCTGTGTGGCAGTTTGAGCTGCTGTTTTCGTTGCCCATGTGGCGCCTTCATCCACCAAGCCAGTCACTGAGGAGACTCCAGTGGCTGCTGTGGGCTCCAGAGTCATTGCAAAATGGCTGCTGGCTGTAGGGAGATCCGATGAGGTAGACACTGGTGTTGGCTCAACGGAGGGAGGCACGATGGCAGAGGACAGGGGTAGCTTGGTTGTTGCAGCACTGGTTGCAGATGCTTCTTTTCCAGCAGATGTGAGGCTTGCAGCATGCTGCTTGATGAGCCTGATGCTTTGGTGAATAAGAGGCTTTTCCACAGACAGCTGCTTCCTCATGGGAATATTTGGCAGGTAGCTGTGTTGCAATAGCTGGTCTTCAATCAGCATATCAATAGGGCTCTCACCACTGAAATGCTCATCGTCTGCTGGAGACACAGAACAAGAAGTGGGGTTCACCCTTCCCTCCTGAACATGGTGTGGATGGAAATGGTTTAAAATGATTGCACCTTTCTGGTCTGCTTGCCTTCTGCCTGCAATACTACACACTACAACCACTGGCTTAATGCCACATCTAAGCCAGGGATTTCGGTTTGCTTTGTGACCAAAAAACCCACCACCCACAGACAGGATAGTTTGTTCCTGACTTACAGACTGTGGTTTGTAGAGAGAGAAACAAACCGCAATCATTGATTTGGACATGCCAGTAAGTCAGGGGTCCTGGTTTGTTTGGGAATGGTTGTAGCTCAATAGCAGAGCAACTGCTTCGCACGCAGAAGGCCCCAGGTTGACTCTCTGGCACCTCCAGGTACGGCTGGAAAAGATTTCATCTCTGAAACCCTGGAGAGCCTCTGCCAGTCAGTGTAGAGTGGACAATACTAAACTAAATAAACTACTGGGCTGACTCAGTATAAAACAGGTCCAAATGTTCCTCTGTGCACGAGGAGGAGGAGACAAACAGCTCAGAAAGGCACAATCATGATTAACTTCTAACTACGGTTTACCATGCTGGGGGAACTGGGTCAGTACCAGGAACACACGGTGAACTCTGGCCTAACTGGGTATCCTTAGATGAACAACAGGAGGCAATTCCCTTGTTTCTCTCAGCAGGCCCACCGGGTGTACAAGCCAAAACATTCTCTTACAATTGCCTCATCTTTAAAACATCTTAAATGTTAACCTCAAAAGAAAGAAATGTGCAACTCAGTTCTTAGGAGCTTAAAAGCTGAGAATCAGGTTCCATGTTAATATTAAATGTCCAAAATGACTCTGCTGATTCTGACCCCAGTCCAGTGGACTGCACACTGTAAAAGAAAATGGAATCAGAAGATCAGCAGTTTGATGCGGGAAGGAAAGGAAGAGCAACCGAACCAGAATGCAGGTTCCCTGTTCCTCCTCCTGAACAGCTGACTGGCAAGATTCCCCCTTTGTTTCCTGGGCCCATGAAGCGCTAGCTGGTGAAGCAGGACATACATAGAACTTTCTTACATGCACAACCTCCCATCCAGCTACTGATAGGAACATAGAAGCCTACATCCCTGTTGCTGTTTTTTGAAATATTATCAAAATAATTACAATATAAATGGGCTTTGGGAGGAATTTCAGAGGCCATCTAGTTCATCCATCTCTCCTGCTTGGAGACAGGAACATCTACTTGTGGCAGAGGACAGGTGCCTTACAGAAAGTGACTTGCAGAGCAAAAGAGCCCCCGGTGCCTTCAACTGCACACCATGAAAGGGAGAGCCAACAAGCACCCCCTCACCTGCTCAATGAGTAATGAGCCACAGGAGATAAAACGCCTCGCTGATTCCTAAACCCTATATCCTGTTTCTGATCAAATTTCACTCAATCATAAAAATAAAAGCTGTCCTGAAAACACGTACACACCACATATAACGTTCTCTGTGCCACAGCAATAGAAAGGAAATCCCATGTGCCATGTGGGGAGGGAGTCGTCGCGAAATTCTCCTTCCTGGCCTTAAAAGGCCACAGCTGAGGCCTTTCTACATACCTTCAGTTTGGAGTAACTGCTTCTGTTTCCAAGATTCAAGTTTTCCAACCATTTTGAATTTCCTATTGCTTCAGGCTCACATCCCCATTTCTCTGCTCCCATTTCCCCATTAGCCCTTTTTAAAAAACCATCTAATCAAGAGACTAAAATTTCACCTGCTATCCCCCCCCCATATACTATTCAAAGCACTGTAAATAGAATTAAAGTGATGGCAAGTGTCGCAAGCTGCCTGCCAGCATTTCCCTGAGATCCAGAATTCTGAAAGTGCCCTTCTACAACCTTCCCAGTCCCGAAACGACAACTCACGTTCATCGAGGTCTTTTTCTGTCTCAGGATCTTTGGCCTTATAGTAAGTGACTCCTCGGATGATGGTGGGCTGGGCTGGAGTCCGGCTCCTCACATGGAGTTTTCTTGGCAAACTTGACTTTGCCTTTGGAGCTGGGGGCGCATAGCGCAAAGACTCTGCAGAACTGATTTGCTGAGAAGCCATTTCATCATGCAGGAAAACCTCTTCGTATTTTTCCTTTTGAGAAACCAAACAACATATTAAAGTGTGGCCAGAGGACAAAGAGGGAGTGTTTGTCAGTAATTATCCATCTGACCAAGCAGGTGGAGTTCTGTCTTGGAGGGGCTGCATCCTCTGTTAAAGGAACAGGTTTGCAGTCCAGAGATGTTGTTTGTTTGGGACATAATTCTGGATGCTCAAATGGCATCAGTGTCACAAAGCACTTTCCACCAGCTTAGACTGATGTGCTAACCATGATCACCTCCTGGACAAAGGTAGCTTGGACAGTGGTCATTCATGCCCTAGTAACACCCAGGGACAAGAACTGCAATGTGCTGTATATGGGACTGCTTTTGAATACTTCTCAGAAACTCTACTTGATGCTGAACTCTACTACAATGAAGATCACAGCTGGCATGAGTTATGGGGAAGAACATCTTCTCAGTTACCCTAGGTTTCCCACCTCAGTCAATCAATCCTGTCAACAGACTTCAAAATGAAACATATCTATCCATTAATGTAAAAGATACAAGTTTATCAAACATCTCCATCAGATAGGAAAATATGGCTACATTCATTTGGATAAGGTTTTTAAAATACTGAAATGTGAAAGAGATAGCGCCCACATGTAGTAATATAAATGTTCCTGTGTATTTTTGGACACAGTTGAAAGAGCCAGTGTTTAACCAATAACCTTCACCATTTGAGATCAGGGATGTTGTTGGAGCGCAAGTCCCATCCTCCCTGACCACTGGCCATGCTGTTTGGAGATTATGAGTGTTGGAGGGTCACAGTTGCCCCACCCTAACCTATCATAACCAGAAAACAAGAAACACAGAGTAAATGAACTGCTACCCTTTCGTGGAAGCAGGCAGTCTTTTAGTCAATATTTTAAAGACTACTTGAGTCACGAAAAGTGATTGTTGTCCCTGCTTTAAACTTAAATCTGGTAGCAGGCAGAATCTAACAGAATCCTGGTTTCACTGATTTTGGGGAGGGGTGGGGAATGGAAATGCAAAGTTCCTGGCCCTCAAGGAGGAGCTTGCAGAAATCTGAAATCACCTCAGTGAGAGTGTAGGCGGCGGCAGCATCCCTCTGCAGTGAACTCTGGATGTCAGCAAGGTTGTTAGAGATGCTGTCAGAAGAATTTGTCTTGCCTTTAAGATCCATCTCCTGCCAAATTTTGTCTGCATTTGGTCTCTTCTCTTTGTGTTCCTTGGTGAGATTGCTAGACAATTCCTAGAACGAGCACAGGGAAAGAAAGAACGTCATTAACACAGAGAGCAGAGTTCTACACATTAGCCTACAGTTTGTGGGATTAAAAAGTGTTAGAGGACCAATGATTGCTGCCAGGAGCTCCCCCCCCCCCGCCCCCATTCCAGCCCTGCCTTCCTTGGCCAATTTCCCTGAACGGGCCTGAAAGCCAGACCAGTCAACAGCCAGAGGAAGAAGAGACAACAAAACATTGCACTCACATACATATCCTCCAGGAAGGGCCTTAACCCCATCCACCACCCTTTTAAATACAATTAAATGCACTGAATATGTGTGAATGCTTCTCAGAATCTTTGGGATGGAGCAGGACAGAAACCAACAGAAATAGTTAGTACCTTGTGCCTGAACAATGACTCCTGTAGATCAATAGCAAAATATACTTTGTAGGCTCCACGGCTCCCAGGCCAGGCTATGCCCCACAGAGGACGCCCATGACAAGCAGCTGCGGAGCAGGTGGGGGAGGCAGGAACTCACAGCTATTACAGGAACAAGGGAGTCTTTCTAGGTCAATAAGTGGTAACCAAACTCCCAGAGAGACAGCTGAAAATAATGGGCCTCCCCACTCTTCTGCCACCCGCCCCCAGCCAGGCCCACATCGACAGTGGCTACCCCTTGTTTCCAAGAGGGCACATGGAAAAGATTTCAAGGATTCTTTGCTTCTCTGGTGTGTTTACAATTAACTTGAACTGTCCCCATGATGCAGCTGGTGCAAGTTGGTGCCACCACACACAACCTAGCATTTCCCAGATGAAAACAGAAGCTCTCCTGCATATTGTTAGCACCCACGTTATCAAACCAAGGGTAACTGAGGCCTGAGCCTCAAAACGTTGTTGAGCTTTCCTGGGGCAATTGCCTGATAGCTGCTCTGCTGCTGCCAAGCCTGGGCCGCCCGCGCCACAGCCAGAGCCTGAACCAGAGCCGCCCGTGTGGGCACGCTTAACAAACTGCAGTCCCCAAGATCCTTTAAAGAGTTAAAGTGGAATAATGGCACCTTTTCTGCAGACAGAGGGCATATATTTATGCAACTGGTTGTAGATAAGTAGGACTGCCACCATTTCTCCCGGCTCAAGCTCCTTTGCCTCTAAAGCAGGGCCAGCATAACCATAGGTGCTAGGGGCGCAGGGCACCCGGGTGCCCAGCTCTCAGGGGCACCAGGCCGAGAGTCCGGGGCCAAGATGTGGAGTCCGGGGATTGAAAAGCCAGGCCAGCCGACAGCTGAGTGGAGCAGAGCCTGTCGGAGCTTTTCTGCTGCAAGCACTGAGGCAGCCGGCCAGCTCCATCCTCCTGCACGCCTGGGATTGGCAGGCTGTCAAGAGGCCCACCCATCACATGCACGCTGCTCCCACAAGGGGCGTAGCTTCCCTCCCAAGTCTCTGCAGGGATTGCTCTCCTCCCTCCACCCACAGCAGCATGGGAGAGAGTTGCAGGCCCCCCAAAAGCTCAACAACTCTGAGCTGCCCCCTAAAAAAGCTCAACAACTTTGGCCTCCCGCCCCCCCAAAATTGGGGGCGCTGGGCAGTTTTGTGCACCCCAGCGCTGCATATCCTAAAGACGGCCCTGCTCTAAAGCATTCCACAGACAAGTTAGACAGGCAAAATTTATATTGGCATGAAGTGATGGGCTTGTATTATTTCTGCATGTCAAGCAAGAGGGCTAGAGGAAAGGGATGGAAATGCTGGGTGCCTACAAAATCTCATTTCACAACAGACTATTCCCAAAACTGTTGTGGGACTCAGTATTGTGGGTCAAGCTGCCCACAGTAGAATATTGATCTGCAACTTAGCAGCTTCTTGGGGCTGTCATAATGTTGTCTAGGGCAGCCATCTTACCTCTTCCAGTTTCTCCACTCGGCCAACCAGCTTCGTTGTGACCGAGTGCAGCTTGAGCAAGTCTAAGCCATAGAAAGCGCCTTCTAGTAGATCGATGACAGCTGCCAGCTGAAAACACATAATCATGGAACAGTTATGTCACTGTCTCCCCTCATATTTGCTTGCCTGAAAGTAACACAATTTGTGTGCTCTTTGGATGAACCCTTTGAACAGCTCAGCCGTGAAGCTCAATAGGCAAGTTAACTATCTCTCAGCTAAACCTCCCCTATAGCCCTGTTATGAAGACTGTTTTGTACACTGAAAGACACAAGAGAAAGAATATCACATTTATTTCATAGTCCTCAACAGCATTATTTGGCAGGTGTGTGTGTGTTGCGCTATAGGGTCTCGGTTGGGAAAGGACCAAAGTTTATTGGTTCTGAAATGGAAATATTAATGTCCATACATAGTGGTACCCCAAGAATATATGCAAAAAGGTTTTTTTCATAATCATCATGCCTATAGTGTCACCAGTGTACTTGACAATTTTCAGAGCTTCATAAGCAAAAAAGACAAGGTTCAGGTCATAAGAAGCTTACATTCTAAATTAAATGGAAAACAGCCAAGGTCAGGAGCCCTTTTAGGAGCCTGGTAGCTTATTCTGAGAGCACGAAAGACAGCAAGTTCACTACTTTAGCTTCACCCTCAAAACATGATCAAACCCAGAACTTGGGTTTCTCTGTAACATGACTGGCTGTATCAAATGCTTAGCAAATCAAAAGGAAGTCACTGAGAAAGAAAATGTTCATTTGTGGTCTTTGAAACGCGCACCTAAGAGTCACTCTTCAAGGGCATTTGGCATCAACAACAGCAGAACAATAGTCTCCACTTATATCTTGCTGAAAGAAATACAAATTGTAATTACATAAATAATTCTGTAATTTTTAAAACTAAAAGATATATACCCTTGCTACTTTACGTTTCTGATCTACCCTTTTATGTGGCTGATGTTATTTGATTGTGTTTATCAAATCAATTCATAGCTTTTTCAAACTGTCCAGAGGCCTGTGTTGAAATAATGCTTCCCAGGAATTTAAATTCTTATAATTGCTCAATCTGCCCTCGTTTAATATCATTCTGTTGATTTAAAGCAGAGTCTCGTGGCCAGCGGAAGGATGAGGAATACGTGCTGCATACTCTATATTGCTTTATTTACAGTTCAAAGCTGGTATATTACAGAAAGACATCTTGCCTCTGCCGGAGCAGTAAATGCATCCTCTCTCCTCGACAGCTCGGAGAGAATCACACAGTGAAAAACAGGAAACCAGTGTACGTCACATCCAGCCTCCCTTTCCCGTGAGAAACTCCAACAGTACAGACTGTGGAATGTAAACACCTGTCTCGTGACAAGCAGAGCTGCACAGTGAACGAAAGCAGAAACCAACATCCTCCCCATTCTGTGAACATCACTGGGCAGCGTGTTTGCACAATATCAGTACAAACCCAACTTCTGCACATAGGTACAGTGTTGATCCCTCGATACAATCTTGGACAATACATCAGCAGGAATTTCATTACCTGGCATATAGGACACCGTTACGAGTCCCTTCTGAATACATTCCCTAGCATGCTGCAATTTTAATTGCAAGTGCTTTGTGCTTTGCTTACAACCTTCAGACTTCAGCAAAGCCAAACATGCTTTGTTGTCCTGGTAAACCTGGATTGGACATTTGACAGGAATTTTCATATCTTTGCACAATTGTACTAACCATTCACAATCCTTAAGTGAATAAGACAGTGCATTCAGTTTGGCTTCACAAGTACTTAAGCTAACTGTTGTTTGCTTCTTGCATGACCAATCAAAAAGACCCTGATTGTACATGTAGCAAACTCCAGACGTACTTTTCCTGTCTGTAGCGTCACTTCCAAAACTTGCATCTGCAAATATCTCAAGACCACCAGACTTCTGATTGTTAAATCTCAGTCTGTAATGCATAGTGCCTTTCAAATACCGCGCTATGCGTTTCAGAGCTTTCAATCCTTGACACTAGGATTGTTGACTTGTCTGCTTAGCAAATTACAGCTAACAGCAATGTCTGGTCTTGAACATCTGGCAATGAAGTTTAGCTTGCCTAGCACACTCCTGTACAGTGTAGTGTCAGAAAATGCTTCTTCAGTGTCATCTACCTGATAACCTGTTGTCATCGGTGTGTCTACAGGGTTAGCATCCATCAGATTTAGTTTGCTTAACACATCAGCAATTTTCCGTGACTGGTGTACTAGAATGTTACCATCTTGATCTCTCTCTATTTCCAGAGATAGGTAGTTGTTTACCTCACCAAGATCTTTCATGTCAAAGTGCTCTTTCAGTTGAGCTAGGGCGTTATTGTACATTGCGACATCTTTCCAAAAGAATAATAAATCATCAACATAAAACAAACAGTACAGTTTCTTTTGCCCCTCCTCTTTGACAAATACACATGGATCAGCTTTCCCTTGCTGAAAACCTAGAGAAAACAATACTTCAGTGAGTTTTGTATGCCAACACCGTGCACTTTGTTTGAGACCATAAAGGGATTTCTTCAGAGCACAAACAAATCCCTGTTTTACCTGTACGCCATCAGGTGGAAGCATATAAAGTGATTCATCTAGAGATCCGTACAGAAAAGCTGTATTAATATCATGGTGACTAATGTGTAGATTTTCCTCTGCAGCTAGCTTGAGCATAAGCCTAATGCTTTCATATCTCACTGTGGGTGAATAGGTCTCGTGATAGTCTTGACCTGGTACCTGTGCAAAACCTCTGGCTACCAATCTGGCTTTGTGTCTGACTATCTTGCCATTTTGATCTGTCTTCGCTTTGAAGACCCATTTGCTTCCAAGCAGTTTCATTCCTGGAACTACTGGAACTAGCTCCCATGTTTTGTTCCTTTCTAAGGAATCAAGCTCAGCCTTCATGGCATTTAACCATGGCTCAGCTTCCTTTGAATCCAAACCCTGGATTTCTTGGAAACTTGAAGGTTCAAATACCTTCTTGGAGCTTTTAACAGCTGTTACTGCTATCGTAGCAAACTCATCAGCAAATCTCTTTGGAGGTTTGCTTTTGTGGCTCTCTGTGACCTACGAATTAGCCTTAAGTCTTCAACACTCTCCTCTTCCTTCTTAGGAGAAAAACGACCTATTGTGAACAATGGTTCCTCTAATTCTTGATCAGAGCTTTCAGAGGGTCGCATAGAGGCTTTCGCACTCTCGAAATCCTCTGAATCACCCGATTCAGTTTCAGATTCAGACTCAGAACCTTCATCAGTGGGTGTGGGTTGTTGTGGTTGCTTGACTATACTCAGTCTCAAAACAGTCATCAGGATAACATTGGAAAATTCCCACATTCTCCCCCCACTTTGCATTGTACTCAACACTTCTCGTGAGCTTTATTGTCTTAGAGTCAGTCATCATTATTCTGTAAGACCCTTTCTGATAACCTAGAAAGATACCATGCAATCCACGCTTGTCTAACTTGGAGTTTTGTGGTGAGCGAACCCACATGTCAGAACCAAAAATCTTCATGTGTTTGATGTATGGCTTCTTGCCAAACATCTTCTCATAGGGGGGTACAACCAATCGCTGAAGATAACCTGCGATTGTAACTGTAAACAAAACACGAGAGAGATTCGGCCCAATAACTCTCTGGAAGATTGGCATCATGCAGCAAGGTCTTTAACCCTTGAAGCAATGTCTGATTTGCCCGTTCCGCAAGTCCATTCTGCCATGGCGAGCGAGGACTAGACAAATCGTGTTGAATTCCTTTCTCAGTCAGAAAAGCTTCAAACTGCTGAGAAGTGAATTCCCCGCGATCACTGAAAAGAGTCTTTATCTTCTTACCATGCACATTTTCCAACCAAGCACAGAATTCCTTGAACCTAGGAAAAGCCTCCGATTTCTGCTTGAGATTGTACACAAAAATATATCTAGAAAATGCATCAATGAGAACCATGAAGTATCTATTTCCACCCAAAGAGGGCGCTAGTGGTCCAACCAAATCAGCATGAACAACCTGGTATGGTTCTGTAGCTTTCCTACTAGACACCTTACCTTTCGCAGCCATTTTCACCTTGTTTGCTGCGCATGCTTTGCACTTCATGTGGTACCTGCAGGGTTTAATAGTCATACCTTCAACCAAGGCAGGCATTTTAGATACTGCCTCAAAATGCAAATGACCAAATTTTCGATGAAAATCGTGAATACATTCTGCATGCAAACTTTTGTTAGAACCTGCAATGCAACAAGTGTCATCCTGCACCACATCATCATAATACAAAACAAATGATCAACATATTCTGCATGCAATACATAATCATTTTTCTTTGTGATGATGCACTTCTTGTTCTTGAAGGAAACGTCAATGTTCCGCTCATTCAGCTGTCCAACGCTGAGCAGATTATGTTTGGCGTCTGGCACGTAAAGCACATTCTGTATCGATAAGTCCAAACTGTGAAGAACAACAGTTCCGTAGCCTTTACTGGGAATAGTGTGGTCATCCGCCTGGTGAATCGCACCTTCCTGCGGTGTAAAAGACACAAACAGTCTCTTATCGTTGCACATGTGGTGGGTGGCCGCTGAATCGATAACGAAGAAAGATCTAGACGTTTTCTGGACCTCTGCAACCTTTGGAGTGAAGCGTGAAACCATAGCCTTGTGCTGCGTTGTCCTAGACACCGGACCTTTGCCTTTGCCTCGGCCTTTTCCGCGCGATGAGCTTTCGCTGCGCTGCTCTGTCTTGGCCCTGGGATGTCTGCATTCCCTCTTCATATGGCCTAGACGTCCACACGAGTAGCATTTCACTGCCTTCAAAGCTTTGGCGCCATCTGGTGGTTCCACTGCACTATGGGATGACGTCTGTGAAGACTCCCCTTGCCCATGCAGCTAGCACCCCGGCGATCTGCTTCATTTAAAATCACGGCAGTAACAAAGTCCACTGTCAGCTGAGCAGTTGGTTGCACAGCAATCTGGGTTGCAACAGACTCCCAACCTGAACCCAAAGATTGTAGTATCATGAAAGAATACACAGCCTCTGGAAAGTTGAGTCCTCTCTGTTGCAGCTCATGTCTCAGATTTTGCATCTCCATCAGATGTAAACGCACATCTCCACCTTCAGCAAGAGCCATATTATGCAGCTTGTTAAAGTAAAACATAGTGGATCCAGCTTCTGTCCTTAAGTGAGCCTCTCTCAAAGCGTCCCAAATTTCTCTGGCTGAGGTCTTATCACGCAATAGACAGAGCTCTTCTGGGGATACTATCAATGTAAGAGTTCCCTTGCTTTGGAATCCTTAGCTTCCCATGCATCTGTAACTGGAACTGGGGGTTCCTGTAATCACCTCAAACAAACCCTCTTTCCGCAGAATTGCCTCTGCATACTGAACCCAGTCGCTGTAATTTTTCTTGTTGAGCTTAGGAATCCCACAAGCATCCTGAAGGGCCATCATGACTCTGGCATTAGCCTTCAGCGTCATATGCTGCTTTAAATCTTGCTGCGTCACTGCTGCAGCTGCCTTATTACAAAGGCGCACTTAAAAGTTACTTTCGATTTCCCCAGCATAGTGACTTGTGCCTGGGAGCCTTTTGCCTATTCCCGGCAAAACCGGCTTTAAAAGTTCAAAGTCCAGCCATAAAGCCATTAACTAGAAGCTGGCAGGCTGCCCGGAGCAGTAGCACATACCTCATCAATCACTTCTACGCGCAGAGCAGATTCCTTTCCGATCCGTCCCTCTGCATTCCGATCCTTTGCCGGCACTCCGATTCGACTTCTGTAGCCCATAACCACGTGTTGATTTAAAGCAGAGTCTCGTGGCCAGCGGAAGGATGAGGAATACGTGCTGCATACTCTATATTGCTTTATTTACAGTTCAAAGCTGGTATATTACAGAAAGACATCTTGCCTCTGCCGGAGCAGTAAATGCATCCTCTCTCCTCGACAGCTCGGAGAGAATCACACAGTGAAAAACAGGAAACCAGTGTACGTCACATCCAGCCTCCCTTTCCCGTGAGAAACTCCAACAGTACAGACTGTGGAATGTAAACACCTGTCTCGTGACAAGCAGAGCTGCACAGTGAACGAAAGCAGAAACTAACACATTCATTACACCAGGGTATTTTGTTTTTCATTCTTCCCCAATATCTTAGTTTTATACTTGTTTGTTTCTAGGTCCAATTATTTCCTTCTCATTAATTTTCTCTACTACTTTTCTACTACTTTACTAACTGCATGATCTATAATTATGCTAAATCAGTAAAGCAGAAAGTGTGCACTCTTGATGGAAACCTTTACACATTTTGATACCGAATTTTGTTCAGGAGAATTTACTCCATTTACAGCTGCCTGGCTTCTGTTTTCTCCTGTCCTCATAGTCTGTTCCTACCTTCTGTATTGTAGTAATATTTTATTCCAGACAAGGCCATGGGTAGTTTCACCCCAAAATTAACGCTACAGTGAAGTGTTCTTTGAAATTTCTCACTTTCTCTCTATCGGTATCCAGATTGCAACCATCGGTACTTTTATTCCTCTTCCACATGTGTGCAACTATAAGAAATTCACTGTTCTGATGGAAAATATTAAATTGGAACTGACCCTGTAATAGCAGTTGTTGTTTTTCAAAAAATGACACTACGGTAAATGGTATCTTTTAATCTAAGCCCAATCCAAAAAGAAGAAGTTGTTAAACAAATGTGAGATGATGAATTGCTTCAAATTATGCTTGGCACAAGAAGGTTCTGGATGCCCTAGTTCTGAGCATTCCCAGCTTGCGTTCTAGAGCCAAGCATGTTTGCATAACCCTCTTCAGGGAACTTTATGAATTAGCTGTATGGAACATGACACCGTTCCTGGATGACAAGGAATCTGGCAGCAGTTCCCTAGAAACTTCACAGAAGGGGGCCATGAGCGGTGGAGGCAAGCTTGAGGATGATGCTCTCAGGCACAATACAACCACCCGTCTCACAGCTGCCAATAGGTTAACATGAATCTGAACATGTGAAGCTGCCTTATGGAGTCAAGCCACTGGTCCATCTGTCCCAGAATACTCTACTCAGGCTGGTAGTAACAGTTCCAAAAACTCAGGGAAAGTTATTTTCCAAAACTGTGGCCAGAGATAGCTTTAACTGGATATTTCAGGGACTGAACTTGAGATCCTCTGCTCCCAAAACATATGATCTGATACTCAGCCAGCTAGAATTTGTTAGTTAACTTCTGAATTCCCTTCCAGAAGATTGCTTGCCCTTTTTTAAAGAAGGACTGAACACATTCATGGAGAGAATTCATGGCTATTTGGAATGAGAGCTGAATCGGGCCTTTGTGCTCAAAGGCAGTGCCATAAACCATGAAACGCAGGTGCTGAGGGCCAAGAAGAGGGGAAGGCCATCCCTGCTCTGCGTCCCGATTCTGAACTTCCAGAGGCGTCTGGGTGGCTGCTGCTGCAAACCGAATGCTGGGTCTGATGGGCTTGGGTCTGCTCTAGCAAGCAAACTTTTATGTGCCACCAAGATACAGAGGGTAAAAGCAAGCTCATCCTCACAAAGACTTCCCACCAGCTGCCTGAATTGGGATGCCGCCAAGCAAAGCCTGGTCCAAATTGTGGCAGCTTCCAAGCCTTTGCAATATTCCTCATTAGGCTGAGGTCACCCATTCATGTGCAAGGCCAGCTACATGCCACCTTGCTGCTTGGAGAACGAACAAAGGAGGTGTTGCTGGTCAGACAGTCAAGCGGATTACAGTTCATTTGAACTTGCCCAGGCAGGAGATAGCTGGAGGCTCAAGTTTCATGTCTTTCAGGGTTGTGAGAACAAACCTAAAACAACCGTCTCCAGTTACATTTTGGGCTGCCAAAAAAAAGCCTTGTAAAGCAGAAAATAAGGAAAGACAACAATTACCAGAACAAGCGCATGAAGTTGGCGGCTTCCTGGTATGTGCCTTTTTCCACACAAGGACAACCCCAAATGAGTGTGGGAAGCCACTCGGAGGACAGCGCATGCAGGCCCCAAGGGAATGGAAGGCAGACTGCGGGAATGAAAGCAGGAAACCAAGTGGAACCCTTGTGGCCAGAGGCTGTCTCTATGTCTCCAAGCACCAGATGTGTACGGTAACACACACACACACACACACACACACAATCCCCACGGGCTTGTCGCGGCCATCATGCTGCCCTTGCAAGTTTTCCAAAGACATCTGGTTGGCTCCCATTGCAAAGAGGACTGTTGGTCTGATCTTGCAAGACCAGACCCATCTTTAGCAGGCAGCACTCTCAGAATTATAACTGTTGGGATATGCACACACAAAACGGAGACTAATTTGAAAGCAAGAGCTTTGGAATGCCACAAATTGGCAAAACTAAAGCCAGAATTGTGTTCTGGGTTTTTGCAAAATTAGGTTTTATTTCCAGCTGGGAAGGGCAGTGCATACTGAGAATGAGTCTGATTTTTCAGGAACATTCTTCTCTTCCTTCACCCCCTGCAGCTCATCACAGATCTGCCACAGCTACCACATACTGCCACGTACACAACGTCCCTCAGCAGGATCACTTCCCACAAAGAATAAGTGTAAAAGGAGTAGCATTCCCTATGCGTTGCTACAGGGAAAGCATGAATATCATTAGTTGTCTTTTGCTGAAACTTTTCCCAGCTGGCAAAGCAGAATGTTCATAAAGCAAAATGGACTTTCAGAAAAAACTAAGCAAGACAGTTATTCATTGACACGACTCATAATTTATAAAGCGCTTTCTGAGTATTCAAAGTGTTCCACACTTTGAAATCTGTCACATTTATGTTACCCATAACTGTTACCCAATTACAAGTGTGTGGATCATAGAATCATAAAGTTGGAAGGAACCCAAGGGTCATCTAGTCCAACCCCCTGCAATGCAGGAATCCCAGCCAAAGCATCCCTGACAGATGGCCATCCAGCCTCTGGTTAGAAACCTCCAAGGAAGGAGAGTCCACCACCTCTCGTGGGAATCTGTTCCACTGCCAAACAGCTCTTACTGTCAGAATTTTTTTTCTGAATATTTAGTTGGAATCTCCTTTCTTGTAACTTGAAGTCACTGATTTGAGTCCTACCATCCAGAGCAGGAGAAAACAAGCTTGCTCCATCTTCCATGTGACAGCCCTTTAGATATTAGTAGGTGGCTATCATATTTCCTCTCAGTCTCCTTTTCCAGGCTAAACACCCCCAGCTCCCTCAATTGTTCCTCATCAGGGCTTGGTTTCCAGACCCTTGATAATCTTGTTCTCCCTTCCCTGCACACATTCCAGCTTGTCAATATCCTTCTTAAACTGTGGTTCCCAAAACTGGACACAGTTCCTGAAAGGTGCAATAGAGCAGTGCAACATTAAATATATATATTAGCTCCTACGGAATTCAATGAGAGGAATCATAACTAGCTATCTATGGAAGAAAACTGTTCTTCAACCATGACCTGCCCTCCTTAGTATTCCAAGTGTGGTCTGGCCAAGGCAGAATCGAGTGGTACTATTACTTCCCTTGATCTGGACACTAGACTTCTGTGGATGCAGGCTAGTATAGCATTCGGGTTTTTTGCTGCTGCATCACACTGGTGACTCAGGTTAAGCTTCTTCAGATACCAAGTGTGCATGCACACGAAAACTTATACTCAGAACATACTTAGTTTGTCTCTAAGGTGCTACTGGACCATTTTTTAATTTATTTCGACTGCGTCAGACCAACACAGCCAACTACCTGAATCTAGGAGCAAAGAGGCAAGTTGCTGGCCAGAAGTCTTCAGAGGAAGGAGCCGCTTTCAGGCAGGGCTGGGAAACCTGTGCTCCTTCCGATGTTGTTGGCCTGCAGCTCCCATCATCCCTGACCCCTGGCCATGTGCTGATGGGAAGTGGAGTCCAACAATATCCAGACCACCATTGGCTTCTCAGCCCTGTTTGTTAAGAACATGCCGAATGCTCCGAGGAGCTGCTGTTTTACACGCTAGCACTTTATGGTTGTCTGTCTGCTCCCCTGCCCTTCAAACCTGGTACATTTGTAGGTATCATGTTCGTTTTCAAAAAGTCAGGAGTCTACAGATTTATCTCTTCAAAAATAGGCTGCCTATTGCTTCGGAATGAGAAATCACAGTTGCAGAGTGTGTGTGTGTGTGAAATACCTTGAAGTCCTTGCTGTCTGCTTCTTGCAGTTTCTTCAGCCTGAAGTCTCCCTCGCAGGGGTTCAGGGCGGATGGTGGGGCTACACACGAACATTTGCATTCCGGTCCAGAAGTGATCGTTTCCACCGTGTAAAAATCCTCTGGTTTGGCAGCTCCTTCGTTAATCCTCTGGCAAGCGCCTCTGCCCAAGGGCCTCACCACACACTTGCACTGGCAGTCTCTGCCTTCCGACACGGCCTTCACCTTGTCATAGTCCCCTAACAACTAATAAAGGGAAAGGAGGAAAAAGAACAAGCTGGTCAGTTTGTTCTGAAAGTAGAATTTCCCTCCCCTTCTCTCCCTCCACCCTCCTTGCTTTATGTTTGTTCTTGTGGAGTGTTTGGGAGAGGCTCAGACATTCTGAAACCTTGAAGAAATAGGTCGCTGGTTTAAAATATTGCTGACTCTCGCCATTTTCTGCTCCTTGATTATCTGGGAAAGTAATTTTCTTCCACCACCCAAAACCCCCCAAACCCCAAACTAGTCAACTTCCCCCGATGAACTTTGCGCTCTCTCGCTCTCTTGGGTTTTGGGAAATTAAAAGGCTGTAGTTCTCAAACCATGCATTCCAGGATGAGCTCATTTAAATTTAACAGGCACAGTCCCTCAAGACATTCTCTTCCTTGAGCCTTACTGAAGTGAGCAGGAGTTATGCAAGAACTGTTCTCTTTGCACCTCTCATTTATTTCAGGTTGGCTTGTGCAGGAGAATGGTCCCAGTGGGAACTGGATATGCTCCAGAAGGAATGCAGCCAAAGGAAAGGAAACCCTCACAATCTGCTTGAAATAAAGTCAGAGTCAATCCCTCAGCAAGACCACCTTCTCTTGCAGGACGATTCTGAAGAGCAGCACCATTCCCCTGAGTTCTAGAGCAGACCAGGTGCATCAGCCAAAGCAAATGTCCAACAACTGCAGATGCAACCCAGAGAATTTCCTTTAGGGATCAGACACAAAACTGACGAATAAAAATAGCCTGAGCACATGTTTTTTCTTGCTGTGCAAGTGTGTGCTGAGACTTCCCAGGAGTGGAGGACTTCATTCAGAAGAACCGTCTACTCAGCAGCAAACCCAAGTCTGCCACTGAAGGTACATTTCTTAAAAAGAACAACTAAGACAAAAGGGAGTGACAAAACAATAAATACAACCTGAAATCTAGTCAATCACCAAAATTGGGTATATCTGATTTGACAAAGATGGTAAAGCTTCTCCTGGTGAAGCATGAGGTATGTGTTGGCCATATTCACACTTTACTTTTACATTTTTGGTGTGCACCCCCCAAAAAACAATGTTTGGAGAGATTCAGTGATGAGACACCCTGGCTACTTTGCATTCAGATGGTACAGGCTCAGTTCAGACATCATGCTAAAGAATGATTTGAGCTTCCACACATAACAGAGGCCAACCACGGGTCAGACCTGCTTGTCTGTTTTATTCTCCATCTCCTCGGCCCCGCAGTGGAGCGCCCTCCGAAGGCAGAGCAGCGGCTGTAACTATGGTTTGTCAGGTCAGACATGACACTGAACCAGGGAGGGGGATAGTCAATGTGGTTCCCTCCCCTGATGTTGCTGGACTACAACTCCTGTCACCCCTGACCCCTGGGTGTGCTGGGTGAGGCTGATGGGAGCTGCAGTCCAGTACATTTGGAGATCACATGATGGCCACCCCTGCGCTCAGCCGTACTCAGCCTTCCTTAACAATGATTCGGCATGACATCTGAAGCCGAGCACCAGCCAGATTGCTAGTCAGCAGTGATGGATGAAAAAGGTTGTGCCACTGAGCAAGAAAAATGCAATCTGTGCAGCTGATAGAAGTAGTACGACTCATGCAACACGTTGGCGACTAAGATACACACAATAATTACCAAAATGATTATACATTCTCTATCGATCTTCTGAGAAAAACACAAAACCTTATTCAAAGCCACAGAGACTTGCGAACTACCCAACCTAAGATGAACTTATAATATCTGATTTCAATGGATTTTCCAAGTGCTTAACTCAGTCTTTTGTTTTCTTTATCTTTTTAGGTAAGTTCATGAAGATACCAACAAAAGGTAAGCTTGATGTTGTTCACAATACCGGCAGATGCTAGTGAAGCTGTAAAGGTAAAGGTAAAGGGACCCCTGACCATTAGGTCTAGTCATGACTGACTCTGGGGTTGCAGCGCTCATCTCGCTTTATTGGCCGAGGGAGCAGGCGTACAGCTTCCAGGTCATGTGGCCAGCATTACTAAGCCGCTTCTGGCGAAACAGAGCAGAACACGGAAACACTGTTTACCTTCCCACCAGAGCAGTACCTATTTATTTACTTGCACTTTGACGTGCTTTTGAACTGCTAGGTTGGCAGGAGCTGGGACCGAGCAACAGGAGCTCACCCCATCGTGGGGATTCGAACCGCCGACCTTCTGATCAACAAGTCCTAGGCTCTGTGGTTTAACCCACAGCGCCACCCGCGTCCCGTAGTGAAGCTGTAGATGGATATTAATAAGGTTGTAGACAGGGTGCCAGCATTTTGCGCCTGTTTCGCCCTGGCAGCCCAAGTAATCAAGAGGCTGCTGTTCGCCCCCAATGGGGCCCTTTTAGTGGGGCTTGCAGGTAGCACACTCCCAAGGTAGTTTTCCAAGCTTCTTCAGTGGTCTAATCTCAAAGCCTTGATACGTATATTGATATTCACTAATAATAATTCAAACCAAATCTTATTAGAAATAACTTAATGCTCTTCTAAATAATCAATTAAATCAAAAATACATATCCCTTATACGTGAAATCAGTACCTTTCTGAGTTTGCCCTTATCTCACTAGCAGCAGGGCAGGAAGAGGACTCCTGCATGTGAAAGCTACTCTGTGCTGTAACACAAAGCAGGCTAAGATTCCCCATCTATCAACACAATTTGTGTGTTTCAAAATTAGTAATTAGGCCACCATCATTTCAAAACACTCCTTTTTTAAAACAACCCATAACTAAATTTAGCCTCTTTATAGTTGGTCAGTTTCTTCCTTTTTTTCATTCTGCTTGACATAGAATGTAAGCTTCTTTGCTCCTTTAACAATGGAAGCTGATCCAATCAAATAGGCCCAATTTGCTTGCTTTGTTATCCAGCTATACTATTCTGGCAATGTATTCATTTTGTATTAAATTTGGCTGGGCTTGCATTTGGCACATCTCTGATGCAAATAAAGCAATCTTTTTTTGTAAAAAGGAAACTATAGTAACACCCATGACCTGAGTTCATTCAACCACAGAGTAAATTAATTTAGAAGCAGACTTTAATCTAAGTAAAAATAATTGTTTCTGTTTCTAATAAAGAGCCGAAAGCACAGTCAGTCGAGCCATAAAGAGCTCCTGTTCATACCAATTTATGGCTCATTTTTACAACTGTTGGAACCTATGGCAGCAGCTGTCACTTTTGGCTGACTTTAGCCACAGGTGAAAACCAACACAAAGCTGACTGAAAGTGCCGCTGTTGCCACAGGAATAAACATACAACTACTCTTGCAGCACAATCCTGGAAATATCTGCTCAGGAGAAAGTCCTACTGGGAAAGGGCTGTATGGCAACAATCCAGCGGCGTAGCGTGGGTTGTCAGCACCCGGGGCAAGGCAAGTAATTTGCGCCCCCTAACCCCTAACCTGCCGCCGCTGCCAGCTTCTTCTTGCTGCTGCCTGGTCTGGTCTGGTGTGGTTCTCTCCCGCGCTCAGCGCTGCGCTGGGCGGCCGCTGCACTGTCCCTCCCCAGATAGTCCCTCGCTCTCTCTCCGCACCGCACGCCTGGCACCCACCCCTCCACAGTGGGCGGCCACCCAGCGGCTTGGATCAGATTCGCACAGCCAGCACTGCAGTGAGAGAGAGTGAGTGAGCCAGGTAGGGGCAGAGAGCTGCGAGTGCGAGCGCGCCCCCCCCAGATGTTGCGCCCGGTGCGGCCAGCCCCCCCTGCACCCCCCACGCTACGCCACTGCAACAATCCTAAACCTACCTATCTTGCTAGGGGTCCTTCCAGATGCTAATGGTTCATTCTGACCCAGTTTTTCTGTGTCTTCAATTTTATTAGGTATTCCACTACTTCCCATCCACGCCAGTGCACAGTCCTTGGTGGAATGTTTCTGTGTGATCTTTTCTGGTGCCTCCCCCCTCAGTTCCTACCTTCCTGCCCCCTACTACTTTTCCCCATTGGGGGCATGGGGGCAGATATTTCCTTTCCTGTGCATGTGCACCTTAAAACATTCGCAGGAACTGCACTAGCTCCATACTTGGTTCCTAGTTATCATGGATGCCTGCGCTTGGGGGAGGGGCAACATCCATTTCCACACAAGCCTTTTAACTCAAGATGCTAAAATCTTTACAGCAATCTTTACTGCAAGGCTCAACGCATTTATTTTTTCCTACATCACCATGGACCAAGCTGTATTCATACCCCAGAGACACATCTGTGACCCAATTTGCCGGCTACTCAATGTTATCCATCATAGCAAAAGCAAAAAGTTACCCCTATGATATTCTCATGACGAAGCTGGTAAAATGTGGGTTGAAAAAGGTAACTGTTAGGTGGATTTGTAGCTGGTTGACTGACTGAACCCAAAGAGTACTCATTAACGGTTCCTCATCATCCTGGAAAAAAGTGACAAGGTTCTGTACTGGGCCCCTTGGTTCAACGTCTTTATAAATGACTTGGATGAAGGAATTGGGGGGATGATCACCAAATTTGTAAATGACACCAAACTGGGAGGGGTAGCTAATGCTGCAGAAGACAGAATCAGAAATGTAAATGACCTTAACAGATTGGAGCACTGGGCGCAAGCGAACAAAATGTATTTCAATAGTAAGCTTCTGCACTTAGGCAGGAAGAACCAGATGCACAAATATAGGATGGGGAACGCCTGGTTTACTAGCAGTACATGTGAAAAGGATCTAGGGGTCTTGGTGGACCATAAGATTAACACGAGTCAACAATGTGATGCAGCAGCAAAAAAGGCAAATACTATTCTAGGCTGCAACAACAGAAGTCTAGTGTCCAGATCAAGGGAAGTAATAGTACCACTCTATTCTGCCTTGGTCAAACCACACCTGCAATACCGTGTCCAATTCTGGGCACCACAATTTAAGAAGGATGTTGACAAGCTGGAACTTGTGCAGAGGAGGGTGACCAAGATGATCGAGGGTCTGGAAATTAAGCCTTACAAGGAACGGTTGAAGGGGCTGGGTATGTTTAGCCTGGAAAAGAGGAGAGTGAGAGGAAATATGATAGCCATCTGGAAACATCCTAAGGGCTGTCACATGGAAGAGGGAACAAGCTTGTTTTCTCCTGTTCTGGAGGGTAGGTCTCGAACCAATGGAGATTCCAACTAAACATTCGGAAAAAACTTTCTAACAGTAAGAGATGTTTGGCAGTGGAACAGACTCCCACGAGAGGAGGGTGGACTCCCCTTCCTTGGAGGTTTTCCAGCAGAGGTTGGATGGCCATGTGTCATGGATGCTGTCGCTGAAATTCCTGCATTGCAGGGGGTTGAACTAGATGACCCTTGGGGTCCCATCCAATTCTATGATTCAATGAATCCAAGTAAGAAATAATGTATATAGGCATTCCTTCGCCTGACCATCATTCAAAATCAGAAAGCTCTATCAGCTCTAAAGAAAACAAACTTCACACCAGTATTCCTACAGTTATGACAATGTCTTGAAGACCCACGTTTATCCTGGTCAGGCTGCATCACTGCAGTAAAGATGGCTATCCTGCCGAAATTTTTGTTTCTCTTTCAAGTGCTGCCAGTTATGATTACACCCAAACAATTTAAAAATTGGCAGTGCTCAATAAACAAATTTATTCACAAAAGGGGGGGGAAGCATGACTAGGCTCCAGAAATATATATGGAAGTGTCAAAAATGGTGGTCTCAGAATCCCACATCTCCAAACTCATTACAATGCCTTCTAATTAAAGTATTTGATGTCACTGATCCACAGAAAGGTAAACCACAGGTAGATATAGAAATTTCAGGTCCTGTATATAGAGCATATCCTTTTCTACCCTCTGCACTCACTAAAACACATGCTATTGTGAACGCTTTCCTCTGAACCACAATAAATGTGTGGAAAGCAAAGTTTAAAAAACTAGCTCCCCCAATATCTCCCCTTATCCCTCTTCGCTTTCATCCAGGGCAATGTTTAGATTGGAATGGTTTGGAACAGGTGGGTCTTTATAAATTAAAAGATTTCTATGCAAACAGTAAACCCCCCCCCCCGCCACAAAAAGAACAATTCATAGCTGCCATACCAAACCTTAAATGGTCATGGTACCACTTCAACCAGCTGTTAAGATTCCTGTATAACCCAGACATTTCCACTCAAGCAAACAGGAAACTAACAGCAGTAGAGCATTAACCTCTCTCCACTGTCTAAGGGCACAGCTTCCTCAATTTATAAAGCTCGAATAATACTAGAATATGGCAATCTATTGTTCACAAAAATGCCATGGAAAATGGACATAGATGTGCAAATACCAAATGAAAAAGGGATGGCTTTGTGGTCTGGGAGACCACTGGAATCAATTTCTGCCAAAATAAGGGAAGCCTCATTAAAACTTCTGCATAGGTGGCATTATACACCGCTGAGGCTATCCTGAATATGTAAGGAAGTTAATCCCAATAGTTGGAGGAGATGTATTTCCATATGTGGTGGTGATGATACAACATCATCAAACCCTTCTGGAATGCTGTCTTCAAAGAAAAAAGCTTGATACAGAACAAAACAACTGAAATGTCCCCTGCACTAGCACTGCTTGGCTTAGGATCCTGTCTGCTCACGAGTATCCTAAAGATGACCTCTTAACCTTTCTATGTACTGCTGCCCATATGGAGATGGCCAGCTGTTGGAAAACCAGTGTTGGGCTGAACATTGATTCTTGGTATAACAGAGTATGGTCAATAGCACTGGCTGAGAAACTAACATGCCAGGTGAGAGCGGCAAAGGGCAAACACAATCCATATTCCTTTTATAACATATGGCAAATGTTTATTGAATACAAATTGCTCAGACTGTGGCAGGAATCCACCCAGCACTCGTGGGAAAATGTGGCGTGATCTCTTAAAGTAATCAAATGAAACTTTACCACACGGCAAGTCTGTAATTTTATCAGGACAAGTTATTTGTTTTTTTACTGTTGTAACAATTATTTTCTCAAAAATTATCTTCTGTACCTTGAAAATAAATAAAAACAGTATTAAAAAAATACACAATGTCATTAAAAACAACCTGAATGAAAATGCACAATAAAACAATTTAAAAGCAAAGATGATGATTGTTATGTACTGAAGTTCTCACCCTGGGCCAGCAGGGGCATACTGTAGATAAAGGTAAAGGGGACCCCTGACCATTAGGTCCAGTTGTGACCAACTCTGGGGTTGTGGCGCTCATCTCGCTTTATTGGCCGAGGGAGCCAGCGTACAGCTTCCGGGTCATGTGGCCAGCATGACTAAGCCGCTTCTGGCGAACCAGAGCAGCGCATGGAAACGCCGTTTACCTTCCCGACGGAGCGGTACATATTTATCTACTTGCACTTTGATGTGCTTTCAAACTGCTAGGTGGGCAGGAGCAGGGACCGAAAAACGGGAGCTCAGCCTGTCGTGGGGATTTGAACCGCCGACCTTCTGATCGGCAAGTCCTAGGCTCTGTAGATAGTTATGCAAATAAGGGATCGAAAGTGACGTTCAGTGATTGGATAGTTTTAGAAAATTGTTACGGTTACGTTGTACTGGAGCTCTATATAAGCAGGCTGACTGAACCCTTCAGTTCTGTTCTGTTCTGGCCTGTGAATAAACAAGAGCTGTTTGAAGAATCGCTGTGTCGTATGATATGTTCACCCACAACTTAACAATGATGATGGCAATGTTAACAACTACCTGTTAACAACCCACTTGCCAAAAAAATAAAATAAAAGAAGAAATAAGTGCTAAAGAACTTTTATACCATCTGTGACTTCAGATGTATAGTAGGCTATTTTGAGCTTTACAGATTTTCCACAGTAAGAGAAAACTGCATCAAATGTAAAAAAGACAAGGCGGGGAAGTACTGGAATTTTGATGACAACAACATTGGGTGGGTGGGTGTGGAAGCAGCCTAGGAAGCAAGTTGAAGCAGATGAGATCCACATCAGACTGTGCTTCTGTTCCAAGACGTTAGTACAGATGAAAATTAAGGAAGTTCACAGCCCATAGGGTGTAACACTGCAGTCTCAACATGGTGCACACATGTGCAGAGATCCCATCAAGGGAAGCAGTGGAAAGATACCTTTGAAGAGAGTTTCTTTAACACAACCTGTTTATGTTAAGGCTATGAATCACTGCACCATCTTAAGCACATTCTCTTTGGAATAAGTCCCATAGAAGCAAATTCCACGGAGTTCAAAGTAAAGATGTTTTTGATTGAGCTGCAGACCCAAAAGCTTCAGCTCAACTGTGTCACAGTTCAGCCTTCAAAAATATGAAGCATATTTATTTCTCAAAGGGACAGGCACCCAAATGAAAAATCCACATACATCCTTCTTTGGAAAAATAATGGCTCTAATCTGAACTGGTTTGCAGGCTAAACTAACTTGCAGCAAGTCTCCAGGATGCTAAATAATGATTTCCATGCCCTTGGAACCAGCACCTGAATACTGCACGCATTTATTTCATTTTTAAATTTATCTTTATCCAGCTCTCAATACAGCACAACACACCTTGATTTGGAAGCAAACCTCAGGCATTCGGTGGAACTTGCCTCAAAGAGACCTGTTTTTCAGAGAAAACATAAGCTTCCTGAAGTCCTAAGCAAATCCGCGCCTGGGAACTGGGAAGCCTCCCCCCTCCCCGCCCCCGGGCCGTGCCTGTAGCCGGCACCCCGCTCGGGCCCGCGTCCGGAGAGCCCCTCGCCCTGCCCGGGATCCCTTCCGAGCGCCCGGCAGGGGGATGAGAGGGCGCAGAGGGAAGGCGCTCGCCTCCTCGTTCCGGCACCTTCTTCCTCCCCAGCCGGATCCCGGCTCCGTCGGACGCACCCCGGTCTCCTTCAGGAGCGGGAAACAGACGGCCTCCAGCAGACCCAGCAGCCGCATCCCGAGCCGGCAAGGGGGCGAGTGGCGGCGCATCGGCGTCTGCACGGCCGCGGCTGGATCGCCCCCGGGCTGCCCGGGCTCCGCGCCGGAGTGCGCCCACGCCGAGCACCTCCTCCTGCCCCGGAGCTGCACCCGGCGACGGGCAGTGGGCTTAAGCCTCCCTCCTCGTACCTGCGAGAGGATGTTCTCCTGGTTGTCCGCCTCGTCGTGCAGCGGGGCGCCGGCGGCGGGGCTGGCGGGGGCGGCGGAGGAGCCCCAGCAGGCAGCCAGCAGCGCCGCCGCCGAGCAGCAGCAGAGCAGCGCCACGGGCCGAGCCATGGAGGGCGCAGCGGCTAGCGGGCGGCGGGCGGCGAGGGGCCGGGCATGGGCGGCGGCGGCGGCGGCGGCGGGGGTCTCGCTGCGAGCCGAGCTGCACCGGCCGCGCCGGGGATGGCGGCTGCGGGGAAGAGCGCGCCCGACCTCGGCTCGGCTGCCCGTCTGGGGCGGGGCGGGGCGGAGGAGGAGCCTCCTCTTCGGCTATTGTGTCTTCCGACCCCCCGCCCGGCCGAGCTGCGGAGCCCCAAGCCCGCCCGGAGGTCTGGGGCCGAGAGGCAGGGTCCGACCCGGGTCAGGCGGGTCTCGAGGGGCTCCGCATTTCGCGCGGAAGAGGCGCGCGCGCGGCCAGCCAAGGCGAAGCTCCCCCGAAGCGGGTCTCGTCTGACGGGACTCCGAGGCGCGAAGCCCGGCTAACCTCGCCTTGAACCTTCTCGCAGGCCCCCAAGCCCAAGGCGGGCAGGGGGTCGCCTCGCCTCGGCGGGGGCCGAATGGCTTGGCCGGGCCAGGACACCTCCGGGGCGCCCCGCTCCGGCCCCTTCCCCGCCCCTTCGGGCTGGGCAGCCGGACGGGCGCCGCTTGGGGAGGCCACGCCAGCCAAGAAGCAAGCCGGGCCGAACCTCGCCTGTCCCCCCCGGCCAAAGACCCAGCTTGGCCCCCACCCCGATGCCCTGTGCCTACAGACACGCACGAACAAACAAACAAACACCTCAAGCCATTTATTTGTAAAGGGCATAAAAAGTAGGCAATGTATTATCTGAATACCAGGGAATCCCGAGCTCCCCTTCCACTAAAAGCAACTCGTTTGACAATGGTAGAGCTTCCACGTACAGCAAGTGTCTGAGGTCAGGTTTGGAATTGGATTTATTTGGTCACAGGATCATTAAAAGGCTGCATTTCCATAAGATCAGCCAAGACCCTCTGCTTCTAAAATGTTTTCCCCTCCTCTCTTTGAGGCTTTTGGCCACCCATCCCTCTTCTTGGTTCTGTGCAAACCCTTACAATGAGTTTTGACGTGTAAATTTACTCCTAAGCTTCAATAAGATTCCTTTACTTTTGTTTGATTACTCATTTTAAGAAATGATAATTTTGTCGTCCTTTTAGGTTCCCTGTAAGGTCAATAAAAATGCTTTTTGCGAGTAGAAAGTGCCCTTCCAGTACAATCCTGAGGCTGACTAACGCCTGCCTCTGGCAGGAAAAATGCCCCCACACCCCTTACTTTCCTGTGTGTAAATCATGTATAGTCTGTGAAATGTCTCAACCTGAGCTATTTAAACACATTCAGAGTTCTGAAGAGATCACAGAGTTGTAGAGTTGGAAGAGACCCCAAGGATCATCTTCCAGTCCAACTGCTTCTCTTCCTCAGCTTCCTGCCCCTCCTGAATTTCTTTCTCACATAGTAGCAAACCCACGCGGGATCCTGTCCAGCTCTCCCTCTCCCTGCCTCGCTCTAAATGAGCCCCTTCAGCTTCGCGGGGAAGGACGGAGCTCTCGTCCACTTTCTCTCTGGCTTGGAGCCCCAATGCAGAAGCCCCGGCTAGACGCGTGTCTGCTTGACTCCGCTTGGAGACCGTTGCTCTGCCTGCCTGGCTCCATTTCAGTGCCCCAAATGTGTAGCTCTGCACAGACCAAGCACGAGGCCCCGCCTCCTTCTCCAGCCCCAGCTGGACCTCCCCCCCAGGTGCAAAGGGGGTCCCTGGGCATAACCCCCCCCCCATCAAGTAAAGAAACAGAAACACTCAACTGATCAATTGCCTGGCAGGTAACTCGGTTCTGCATCCCGCCTACCTTCAAGCCTCCCCCCCCCATCCTGGCTCCGCCCACGTTGCCCAGGTGGGATGGGGGAGGGGCTGGTCACTGCGCCGGGCCTCGCTCTGATGGGGCCACGTGACTTGACTTGCCCCAGGCGCTTGAAGCCACGTGACCGGAGCTACCTTGGATTTCTTGGAAGAGACAAAGAAGTGTTCCTGGCCTGGCCCTGAGTCTCCCACCCAAACCCAGCAGTGGAGAAAGGCAACTAACTGCCTGAGCTGCAAACCGAGCCTCACTTACATGGCATAAAGCTGATGTGAATTTTAAACTATTTTAGCATGTATTATGAATTTTTCCTGATTTTATGGTTTTACCTTTTTGTAAACTGCTTTGAGGGGTTTTTTTACAATCAAATGGTGCACCGTATAAATTTTATGAAGTAAATAGAATGATGCTGTGTTTTTGTCTGCTCGTTAATAAATTACCTTTGTTTTTGTTTTATCTAAAAGGGCACCCACTTTTCTGAAAGACTGCCATATACTTTTCCAAGGACCTTGTGACCAGGATGGTGAGGGGAAATACAGGGCAGCCCTTCCTTCCTTCCTTCCTAAGGGCTGGGGTTTACTTTCGAGGTGCCCAGCTGCCCCTTGGAAGCTGGATGGTAATAGGTTTAGAGAAATGCTGGTCTTACTATTGTTTAGTCATGGGAGCTTAAAAACAGTGAAACTGATTGTTTCCCTATCACCTTGCAGGCCATCTAAAGGACCGGTCTATGCCTGCTAGGGCAGAGCAATCCTAGTTTCCCCCCGTCCACCAGACTGGAGGGGGTTAAGAAGCAGTACAGGATCCACTGGGCTCTGCTGGACTCTATGGAGGGGTGAGGACGTGCCTCTGCTGCTGCAGAATCATAGAGTTGCAGAGTTGGAAGGGAACCTGAGGCTCATCTAATTCAACCCCCTACATGCATTAAATGCATTAAAAGTACAGGAAGGTGGAAGCTACTACTGGTATCCCTTAGTCAACATCATTTTCAGGGGGATGCTAAGGATAAACCATGGTGCAGGGCAAGATCCCTGCTTGTGGACTTCTCAGAGACATCTGGACACAGATTGTTGCATCAGATGGCCCTCAGTCTGATCCAGCAAAAGTCTGCAGATGTTCTTTAAAAGCTCAATAAATAATTTGCATTAGTCTTCACTGCAGAAATTTGGAGACTTCTCCATCCCGCCCCCCCGGAAGCACAATGGAGAAGCGATATGAAATCAAGGTGGCAAAAGATTAAATTTCAGAACTACTTGGCAAGTCTCCAAGACCAGGGGGCACTCACCTGAGAGTTCTTAAGAACTCAAATGGGAAATTGTTGATCTTCAAGGTAAAGTATGTAACTTATTGCTAGAATCAGCCTCCTCACCAGAGGACTGAAACGCAGCCAACATGAAGTTTTGAAAAAGAATCCACAAAGAATCCAGGAAATTAAAGACCTGTCAGTCTAACTTGTTTCTCAGGTAAGTTGGTGGAAAGCGTTATTAACACGAAGACTGTAAATATTTAGAAGAAGAAATCTGTTGAACATCTTTATAAACTACTTGGATGAAGGAATTGAGGGGATGCTCATCAAATTTGCAAATGACACCAAACTGGGAGGAGTAGCTAATGTCGCAGAAGACAGAATAAAAAATGAAAATGACCTTAATGGACTGGAAAACTGGGTGCAATCTAACATACTCAATTTCAATAGGGACAAATGTAAGAATTCCCTTCTACATCACCTTGTTTGTTACCCGGGTGAGGAACAACCACCTTTTGAATAAACCACAGAAACTATTTTTCAAGTCCAGCATCAGGATTTAGGGACCCAGCATTTATTATAGCTATTGCAATAGGACAGAGCTCACTCCACTCAACGGCCAGTTCATAGAATCATAGAATCAGAGAGTTGGAAGAGACCACAAGGGCCATCGAGTCCAACCCCCTGCCAAGCAGGAAACACCATCAGAGCAATCCTGACATATGGTTGTCAAGCCTCTGCTTAAAGACCTCCAAAGAAGGAGACTCCACCACACTCAGCCAGTTGAGAAGGGCTGCCCCAAAGCACCTCAGAACAGAGGCTGATATAATAGTTCAAACACAGCAAACAAATAGACATAAAACATCTTCATATACATCAAGAAAGGTTACTAGTCATGGGATAGAAAACACGCATGGCGTCTTCCTGCTATTCACTCCCCCCCCCCTTGGGGTTGGCCAGACGCGTGTAGGCCTTTTGCCCAATTTAGGCATCAGGTGTCCCATGTTGCCCTGGCCACCTAGCCTATGATCAGTCTTTAATGACATTTCTCCCATCTAATTTTCAGGAAACTGCCAAGGATTTCTTCCCTGATGCTAACTCATAACTGACATAGGAAAACATCCTGCCTTTCAGGGTCAGATAAGGAGAGATGGAAGGCAGCGTAGGAGGGGAGAGACTCACAGCTCCGACAGTAGGAGCTGTCTGACAGTGGAACGGTCTCCCTCAGGAGGTGGTGGACTGCCCTTCCTTGGTTTTTAAGCAGAGGTTGGGTGGTCTCCTGTCACGGATTCCTTAGCTGAGATTCCTGCATTGCAGGGGGTTGGACTAGATGACCCTTGGGGTCCCTTCCAACACAAAGATTCTATGATTCTATGAAATGTAGAACACACAAAAATCAAGCCTAATACATTCTAAAAGGTTAAATGCAATTAAAGTGAAACTTTGAAACATTATTAAAATCAAAAATAAACACCTGAGGTCTTTAGTTCTTATATCAATCGGTTGGTGGGAGAGTAGGACAGCGCCAGTTCAGCCTGCAGGTGAGGCTCGCATAAAATAATGTTCTACACACACAAACACATACCCCCCACATAGAAACTGGCATGTCAGGATAAAATGCATTCTGACATACCAGTTTCAGATAAACTGGTGTGTGTGTTTTGGTTTTTTGAATGGAGAAGCAGTATGGAGGGGTAATAATAATAATAAATTTTATTTATATCCCGCCCTCCCCAGCCGAAGCCGGGCTCAGGGCGGCTAACAACAATTGTTGTTATCATCATTATTTTATTTATTTATATCCACCTTTCCCCCAGTTTGGAACTTATGGCAGCTTACGCAACTAAAATAGAACAAGCTAAAAGCATAGAAAAGACACTCATTAAACATTAATAGAATTAAAATACTTTAAAAAGATCCATTGAAAACATAGCACAGAACCTTAAAAGCAGTCAGTTCCCTGCTGGCGGAAGGACAACAAGGAGGGAGCCAGGACAGCTTCTCCAGAGAGGGAGTTCCAGAGTCCAGGAGCAGCCACCAAGAAGGCCCTTTCTTGTGTCCCCAACCAGGATGGTGGTGGTGAGGGTGGTGGGACCGA